TTCTTCTTTCTCAGATTCTTTACCAGTCTCTCCCTTACTTCTAGCTGACAACCTAGAAGAGTTGGTCTGCCCAGGCTTTATGTGCCTTATAGTCTCTCTTCTCTTGGTATATGCTTTCAGAGCATATATTCTTTTCCTCCAGTTGGCGATCTAGTGGTTCAGCTGGTATGTCCCCCTACTAAAGGACCTGGTCGCTCAGTTTTCTGATCTCAATCTCCGGTTTCAAATTCGGTCTTCCTGTAGCACTGTCAAAAGTTATACTACCTTCCAACTTGGGACTTGCCAAACAGTTTTTGGTAATTCTGATTTTCTGGATTTATTGTACCAAAGCTCCTATTCAAAATGGTATAACCAAGATTACAGATATCTAAATCCAACTGATAATCTTAATGTTAATTAATACAAATTTAGTTTTTTCAAAATCATCATCCGTGGGATTTGAACTCTAGACCTGCCATCTGGGAGTGCGACAACTCCACTACTTCACTAAGTCACTATACCTGCTATGCTACAGATTTTATTAAGCCTAATAGTTATAATTTTTATAAAAATTTTAGCATCACAATTTACTAAAGAGATTGGTTTTTAGTTATCTATATTGCTCGAATCTGCTGTTTTTTTTGAAATAAGTATAATCAGGTTCCTGTACCAGAACTTGGAAAGAGAATCTAAAGTGAGAACTTGATTAAATATTGTTTCTAGAACCAAGACTATATACTCTTCTATTTGTTTGTAGAATTTGTAGATGAGGCTATCTATACTAAATGATTTGTTATTAGAAAGGTTCCTAATAACTTTAGTTATTTCTTTTTTTGTAATCTCTTATACTAGTTCTGTATTTTTTAAATGTAGAACTCTAGAACGTATGTCTATTAATATATTTGCTATATTTAGATCAATTTTTTCTTTTTTGCATATTGTTCTTTAATATAGTGCAAGATTTGATTGTCTTCTGATTGTAATAGCATTTCTTGATTTACAATATCTTTTAACACAGAAGAGTTGGTTCTTGTTTTATATCTTGAGAAAAAGTATTTGATTGATTTTTCTTCTTGCTTAACCTATCTTGCCTTTAAACATATCTGCAATCTCTTTGCTAGATACAAAGTTTCTTTCTAAATTTACTAGTTGAGGTCGCTAATTGTTATATGTAATTGTATTTGCTTAGGGTTTGCTGCTAGCAAGGATTTTATTTTGGTTATTTTTTTTATTTAAGATATCAATTTTGTTTTCTGAAGCTCTGGGTTTTTTGAAGGCTTTAATAATTGACTGGATATATAATTTGTGCCAATCATATTCCATTGCTAAGTTAATTGTTTTGATTTCTTCTATGATCTCTTTTTCTATACTTTTGTTTTTGAAACAATTCTTATTAAATCTCTAAGCTGATAGTCTTTTTAGCTTATTGCTAAGATTTAGTATATATTTTATTAATAAATAATCTGAGTTGCCAAAAAAGGTTTCTGTTTTTTTGATAAAGTGACTATAATTTATATCAATAAATATATAATCCAGACATATTAGTATTGTTTGATTATTATATGTGTTTTGAAAAAATGTGATGATAAATGAGTTGTTTCTTTTTAAAGTGGCTGAATCAATAAAGTTGCTTGTTAGTCTTTTTAGTTGTGTTCTTGTAGTATTATATTGTGCTAAAGTCTGGCTTATGCAATTTATTACTGGATTTAGATTAGTATTGAAATCTTTTGCTAAGATATTAATCTTGTTTTTATCAAGACAAGAAGACCATCTTTTAAAAAAGTTATTTCTGTTACTATTATTTAAAAGAGTATATATGTTAGTGACTTTAAACAGGTAGTTTTGATATAAAACTTTGAGTAAAATAGCTCTTTTTTTTATAGAGATTTGTGAATCTTGTAGTTTAATATTTTTTTTGCTAGCCAAAATAGCTATTTTTTCTGTTCAAATTAAGTCAAAAGACCATTATTGTTTTAGAAAATTACAAGTGTTTTGGTTATCTAAATTTGTTTCTTGTAAAAGAATTATATCTAGTTTGTATATTTTATAGCTGTTTTCAAAATAGTTAAAAATAACAAAAAAATATTTTTTTTAGAGTATACTGGTATACCTATACATACAATTATTTTTTAAAAATTTATATTATATAGCTTTGTATATTTTATGCATCTCCTGCATAACCATGCATATTTTATGCATCTCTTGCATAATCTTGCATAAATACACATAAATATGTGTAAATATGCACAAATATGCCAGATTATGCAAGAGGTGCATAAAATATGCAGAGTCATGCAGGAGGTGCATAAAATATGCAAAAGCTATATAATATAAATTTTTAAAAAATAATTGTGTATACGAGTATACTAGTATACTCTAAAAAAAATATTTTTTTGTTATTTTCAACTATTTTGAAAATAGCAATAATAAAGTTAGTATTTTTTGTTGTCTCTCTTGGTTGTTTAGACTCTTTATATTAAGGATGGCTATGTAAACTTTTTTGTTTACTGTTATGAGAAAAAAGCAAGAGTTATTGAGAAGGAAAAGAAGATTCTTCTTTAGGTTTCTTGTATAGAGATAATCTTGAGCTATTTTGTTTTAGTTTGTTGTTATTATTTCTTTTTTGTTTTTTCTTGTTTGTAACTATAATAAATTCTTCTTCCTCTTGGTTAGCCACGGTATTTAAGAGAGACTTGATTAAGTTTTCTAGTATATCTTGCACTTTGAAGACTTGAACTAGATTTTTATATATTAGCTCATCTTGGAGAAGTTGTTCTGTATATTGAGTTAATTATATATCTGGTTTTAGTGGTTGTATAAAGGCAGATCTTAAATCTTCACTCTTTTTAGTTTGAGTATTGGCAATTTTTTCTGTAGAGATGTTCATCTTTTCAATTGTAATAATTAATATTATAGTTTCTGTTGAATTCTTAATTGAGCTGTCTGACATAAGAGGTAGGATATCTTTTTTTATTTCTTTAAATAAGCTTTTAGTAGCTGTGAAAGCTAGTTTCTCTTGGATAGCTTCTTTTAATAATTCTTAAATTGATAGAATCTTGGTTTTTGTAGTAACAGAACTTTTGCTTTGGGTTCTGTTCAAGAGCCTGTTATATTCTTTATATTTTTGGTAATGTTCAAGAGATTCTTGAAACTGCTTATAGTCCTTTTTGATATAACCTTCCTAGTTATAGAAGAAACAGACACTTGATACAAATTTTTATTTTGTAGTGATCTTGTTATCACCTATATGAATAAAGCATAAGATTTTGCTTTCTAAATTGGAATCTTCTATAGTTTTAAAAGTAATGATCTATTGGTTTGTTAGATATAAGGTTCCTTTAATCAAAAGAGATTTGATAAAAACAATTTTGCTTGTATCTTCAAATACTTTTTTAAATAAGGCTACACTTGAGTTTAATTACTTAGAGAAATGTTTCTGGTCTTAATCAATAAAAAAGATTTATGAACATCTGTTGGGATATAACCCATGTAGGTTCTGCCAAAGATTTTAACCTTCTTTGTTACATATTCTTTAAGAAGGTTATGACTAGCAAATACTATCTCTAGTTAAGAGAATGAGCCTTTTTTGAAATATTGTTTAATTGTTACAATATCATTTTTTGCATTTTTATATAAAAAGAAAATAATTTTATTGAAAGAGCTTAGTGTTTGTAAAATATTAATAATAAGAGTATTGTTATTTTTGGACTTGATTTGTTTTCTTGGAAAATATATTGAGAATATTGCTTGTTCTCTCTTTAGTTTTGGAAAGAGATTGATCTATTGTTTTAAAAAGAAGGCTTGTGTATTTTTGATATTATTATGTTGTACAAGATCTTTGTTTAAAGTTTGCCTATAAAGATTTTCATCAGATATTTGTACTTCTAAATAAGTGGCCATGTTATGTATAAGATTCAACTCTTCTAAGTACTTTTTAAACATATGGTTTGTTTTGTTGTTTAGCATATTTTTGTTTTTTTTCTAAATATAATATGGTAAAAAAAGCCCAAGGGTTTTCTTGTTCTACCAAGTCATTTCAGGATGCTTTGCTATTAGTTTGAGAAGCTGTTTTTGTATCTTTGATAGAATCTGAAGAGTTTGAAGTAAAGCTTGTATCTGAGGACTTAAGGCTAGATGAAGTAGGTTTTGGCATGTTTTCTTTGTTGTTAAGCTCAGAAGCCATTGTTGTTGTTTTATATTTTTTGTATAGTAGTTTTATCTTTAAAGCTTGAATATATTTTTTTTTCAAAGAAACAAAGGCTTTAGCCTTTGCCGAGTATAGTTTAGATAGGTTTAGTTCTATATTTGATATGTGTATATTGTTTTTTGGTAAATCTCTGTTTCTGCCAAAAGTGTATAGAAAAGAGTTGTACAAATCTTTCAAATTTTAATTTTTAAAAAACTATCTTATTAAAATTAACTTAATTTTTTTTTATAAATAGATTATATTAATTATATTTATAGATATAATTTTTAAAATTATAGATCTAAAAATAATTAAGATAATTGCTTTATGACAAGACTTATGAATTAACCTATATAAGATTTGAAACAAAT